CAGTAGGTCAGGGTCCGATGAATGAGATGGGATGAAAACGGCCTGGCATGGCATATCTTCCGGGATTGGTTCCACGCGCAAAGGAGACGGCACATTCGGTTGCTCGATTCCTGCTCGCTGATGAGTGATGATGCTGCAGACACATTCATGGCGAACCACTGCGGCTGCGTGTGCACAGCAGCAGCAGCTGGTCACTTGACCGCGTAGGTGTACGCTTGCATGACTTCATGCCTATGCGATCGATGCAAATGCAGCACCGGTCCTGCGGCGGCGCCTCTTCTCTTCTTCCCTCGCTAACCCTTCACACACAATCACACTTGACACTAGTACTGTACGGCTAGCTTCGTGTTATTATTGGGGAAACGGGGACCTATCAGCCTGTGCTCTGACGGTGATTTATTGACTGATACTTTCTCGGCTCTAAAATATAATAATCTCCATCCTAAAATATAATAATTTAGTACCGAAGAAGACACATTATACTATTACAAATCTAACAGTAATGTTTATATTTGTAGTATTAGAATGTATCTTGTCCAATTCTAGGTTACTCCCTTCTTCTCAAATTGATCATCATATAAGGGCAAGTACTATAATACCCCATATGTTGTCCCTAAGAGTGCCATATTAATTGAGTGATGAGGTGGAGGAGAGAAGTGAGAAGAGAGATAATGAGCCACCCCTAAATCAAGATACAACCTCCACACAAATTTTAAAAAGGATGTGAGAGTATTAGAGATATTGGTATTTGTGTACTAGAGGTGATACATTGTATGGGTTGACTCTTAGTTTATGAGTGAATAAAATATATAAAATTAGAGGTGGTAGGCACCTCTAGCATAGCACTTGCCCTAAGTTTATGCACCAAGACTAAGGATAATTTAAATCACATCAAACAAGACACCATGCACATATTCTCCCACAATGTATGCATCCATTAAAACCCCATGCCAATTACACCATAGCATGCACACATTCTCCCATACTGCATTAATTGTATTCTGATGAAATCCATATCATGCAGTTATATGATGATCAATTTGAGAAATTTTGGATTTTATTACATGATGATCAATTTGGGAAGGAGGGAGTATACAACTGTGGAGTACATCGGAATCCGGTGTTTTGTGCGAACACAGGATTCCAAATTAGGTGCTCTTGCTGCTGTCCACAAAGGTTTGCAAATGGATATAAGAGCAGGTATAACGGATGAGAGAGAAGAGTAGCGGGGATACAGAGGAAAGAGAAGAGTAGCGGACAACACGGACTCCAAGATACAATTTGTGTATGACAGATGAACTAAATATTAATAGTGTAATATATGTTTATAGGTAACTATTATATGAATTGGCTATTAAATTGACTATAGATGATTTGGAGATAATAGTTGGCTATACCATTAGGCTGTGTTCGCTGGAGGGAGTTCCCAACTAGAACAGTGCACACGGAAAACGTAACAGTCCATTAGCGCGTGATTAATTAAGTATTAGCTAATTTTTTTTTTTCAAAAATGGATCAATATGATTTTTTAAGCAACTTTCGTATAGAAACTTTGTAAAAAAATACGCACCGTTTAGCAGTTTAAAAAGCGTGCGTGCGAAAAAGAGGGAGATGAGCTAGGAAACCTGAGGTAAGAACACAGCCTTAGGGCCCGTTGGGGGAGTTTAAAATTATTTTTTTTTGAAGCAAAAGACGGCAGGAGCTCTGCCGGATATATTAGAAGGAGAAGCAGTTAGAGAGGTCAAGAAAGAGCAGACCACTAGGTGACATTTTCAGAGATTTACATACATGATGCTATCAACTAGAGCTAAGCACAAGCCTTTATGTATGGCGCAAAATCTGAATGGCATCTATATTTTCCTTTACTAAGAAAGCTACTTGGGTGGCACTTAGTTGCTTTTGATGGAAAATTCTTCGATTGCGCTCAAGCCACACCTGCCACCAAGTTATAAAAAGTGCCCCTATCAGTTTTCTTCTTCTCCTTCCATAAGTTGAATGTATGATTGAGGTCCACCATTCTAAAATGTTTGCATCCTGTAGTTGATTTGGGGTCTGCATGATGTCCAGCCAGCTACAAACTTGGGACCAAACCGTGTTAGTGAAACTGCACTCCTTTGCCAAATGGTTTGCGTCCTCAAAAGCATCTGTACATAAGCTGCAAATCCAATCGCATGGCCAATGTCTTAAAAGGAGGTTTTCAGCTGTGAGAGTTCTTTGATGTAAAATTAACCAGCCAAAGAACCGATGCTTAGGTTCCGCTTCAGCTTTCCAAAGTGGCATAAAATTTGTGTTGGCAACTGATCCTACAAACTGCATTTCATAAGCGCTTTTTGCAGAGTATTCACCATGATTAGTCCACTTCCACGTGATACTATCCAAAGAATTGGGGTGTAATCTGATCTCATGCAGCTTACTGCCTAGGTGCACCAGCTCATTGATCTCATTTATTGAAGTGATTGTTCTTAAGGAAGTGATCCAGTGATTGTTGTGCAGCTCAAAGGCTACGCAGTTTGTTTTCCTCTTTGCTAATTTGAATAATGTCGGCGCTATGTCTTTAGGAGCGTATCCTTGCAGCCAATTGTCTGACCAAAACTTGCATTTCTTTCCGTTTCCTAGGGAAATTTGTGTACTTGCTCTGAAGAGATTTCTGTCCATCTCATCACATGGAATTTCCATATTGATCCAGGGTTTATTTTCCTCTTTCCATTCGTACCAGAGCCATCGAAGTCTTAAAGCCCGAGCGAATTTCTCTAAATTGAGAATTCCAAGCCCGCCCAAAGGTTTGGGCTTGCAGACGGCTGTCCAATTCAAAAGACAACTGCCCCCGCTAACGTTTTCAGGATCGCCGCCTTTCCAAAGGAAAGCTCGCCTAAGGCGATCGATCCTTTTGTAAAGCCATTTATTTTGCTGGAGAATTGTTAGGTGATAAATTGGGGTAGAGGAAAGAGTGTTTCTCTACCTGCCGAAGTGAAGAAGCGACCTTTCCAACCAGGAATTCTCGATCCCACTTTGTCCACCAGAGGTTGAAGCTCTAATTTCCCCAATTTTCTTGTGTGCAAAGGCAGGCCCAAGTATTTACATGGGAAGTTTGAAATTCTACCTGGGAAGATGGAAAGGCAGTCATCTAGGTTGACTCCGTTACAGCTTATCGGGAAGATCTCTGTTTTTTCCATGTTTGTGTGAAGTCCACTGGCATCTGCAAAGACAGAAAGAATTCCACGAAGGACTAGCATTTCTTCTCGAATGGGCTTTATAAAAAGACCAACATCATCTGCGTAGAGAGAACATCTGAAGCGCCGCTGTCTTTGCAGACTAGAGAGAAGGCCAAGATCCTCTGCTTTCTTGAATAATTTGTGCCGGGGTTCCATTGCAAGGATGAAAAGCATGGGGGAAAGGGGATCGCCCTGCTGAAGACCTCTAGCATGGTCTATTTCCTGACCTGGGATACCATTAAGAAGAACCGCAGAAGAGAAAGTACCCAGTAGGTTGGAAATCCAGTTGCACCATTTATGTCCAAAGCCAAAGATTTGAAGGACCTCTAGCAAGTATGCCCAATTAACTGTGTCGAAAGCCTTCGATATGTCAACTTTGAGGAAAAGAGTAGGCTTTTTTTTCCTGTGAAACGATTTGATCATGTTCTGCACAAACAGGACATTGTCATGCATTGCTCTTTTCCTAATGAATGCACTTTGACTTTGAGAAACTAGCTCATCTAATTTTGGTGTAAGTCTGTTTGCTAGTAATTTAGCTACTATTTTTGCAAAACTATGCATTAGACTTATTGGCCGGAAATCCTCCGCTTTTGTTGCATCCGCCTTTTTAGGGATGAGGCAGATATGTGCCGAATTGAGTTCTTGCAGTCTTGCACATCCCATATCTCCAAAGAAGGAAATAGCTTGAATGAGATCTGTTTTTATTATGTCCCATGCTTGTTTGAAAAAGGCTCCAATAAATCCATCTGGTCCAGGAGATTTTTCCAAAGGCAAGTCAGAGATTGTATTTTTGAGTTCTTCTTCAGTGAAGTTATCATCGAGATCTGAGAGATCAAGCGTAGGGAGATTGAGAGCAGCCAAGTTTAATCTCTGATTTCTGAGAGCAAAGGCTCCTAATTTTTGTGTGAAGTAACGCTTCAATTCTTCCTCCTTTTGATCTTTAGTTACAGCAAAGCCATCTGGAGTTTGAAGGATCTGTATGTGATTTTTTCTCTTTCTACCATTTGCTTTGATTTGGAAGAATTTAGAGTTAACGTCTCCATGCTTTAACCAAGTGATCCTGGCTCTTTGCCTTAGTCGTATTCTCAAGCTTAAAATTATAAGAAGCAGTTGATTAGTAGCCAGCTTCTGAGAATTTGGAAAAGCTTGGTTTCCTAGCTTTTGGCTTCTAGTTCATTTTCTGGATTCTACAACTTCTCAGAATCTGGACCAAAAGCTGAACTGTTTGGAGGAGCTTCTAATTCTGGAAGAAACTGCAGCAGCTAAAAGCTCCCCTGAACATATGCCCTTAAACTTGCTCTACAACACCTGGTGCCCACTCCAATGCATCCCCAACAGTTTACAGTTCTAAAGTAGCTAAGCATCCGCGTTGGCCCATGAGGCAACATGGGTTTGTTGACACGCGGTGTAAACGTTACGGGCTACGATCGTTACAGAGCTGGGCTGTTTGTTGGCGATCGTACTCTTTGCCCATCACGAAACTCACTATACTCCCGTAACCAGGCCCTTTTGCTCGCTGTAGTGCAATGTCTGTGGCATCGCCCCACTTATCTCATGAGCAGAGTTTTGTGTGCTCATTTCACTGCCCATTGCCTTTGTGCCTGTAGCTGGTATTCGCATGAGGGCAGCGACCTTTGCTTTAGCGTATTACCTCAAGCTCCAGGAGTCCTTTTATCTAGCGTATCAAAGTGTAAGTGAAGCACAACCCTGTGGACGGCCTATATAGCCTGTCCTCTTGCCCATTTCCAAAACCTGAATTTGCAAGGCAACCTGGCATGATTCCCAAGATGACAAACAAAAAACACCACCTCGACAAACGATTTTAAATTACCGACAGATCAGCAAACCACATAAATTCCACGAAATCTAAAGCTCTTGATGATAGCTATGTACCACTAACAAAATCTGTAAAACATTTAAAGCAAGTGCAGTGGGTGGTGTAAACATCATCTCTGAGGCCAAAATTAGAGAACACGGCACATGTACATCCACGGAGGCGCCTAATCATGACCACCAAACCAAACACTGGGTTCTGTCCATTTTCAACTTATAAAATATAAACTCTGCAGTGAATACCTGCATGGTTCAACCACCTTGCCTATGCAATCACCTCTATATCTGGATCACCTTCTTTGCCATGATTGCTCAAGACTGGTTCCCGGATTGAGATGCCGACTGTATCCTCTGGCGAACTTGTTGGAGCAGAAGTTTCAGGTAGTCCTAGCATATATTTGCAGCAGTTTAGGGTTAATCAGAAGGCAAACAAAGTTTTCTAAAAAGAAAAAAAAAGGCAAACAAGGTACTGCAAAATCCTATCAGATTTTTTATTTATTTTGACAAAAGATCATATAAGAAGCATATACCACTTATTTTACCACAAAATGATCTCTTGCCTTTTTATATATGTATACATATTAGTATAACATAATCTCCTAATGTATGTTTCTAAACAATCTCACCCTACGGTATCAACTATATGGCATCCTATGAAAATCATTAGAGCTTATTCTAAATTTGGATGGGGGGATTTTGGAAACATACATCTGTAAGTTCTGGGTCACTGACAAGCTCTTCAAGCATGTCCTCAATACTCTCATCTTCACCATAAGCCTGTGCAGCAGTTTCGAGGACCGCACCGAAGATATCCCTGGGGGAGTCATGTTGCTCAATGTGTTCACGAGCTTGGTGTAGATCAATCTGTGCATGAAAAAGCAGGATGGTAGTTTATGAATTATCAAAAAGTTAAAAAAAAAAGATATTGTTTTCCATTTGTCAGTCTTGCATATGACATTCTCAACCCTTTAGAATGAACATTTGTCCAGATATGGTGTATTAGTAATCATCACAATTTTTTTCTTCACAAATAAACCATATAAGCACAAGCCATAATACTAAGAAGAACAAATGCAAATACAGGCAGTTCCAACCTATTCAGCTGGATGACTTACCTGAGAATTTCCATAATCTGAAGCATCATCCACTCTCATGTCACTGCGCCGAGGCTGCAATCTGGATTGTCCACTATTTGTACCAGCAGGACGAGCCCCAGCTCCACCAAGAACTTGGGATACAACAGGCATCATTTGCTGCATCATTCTAGACAAGTCAATGCCACCTTGACCTCTTCCTGACCCATCCACATTTTGGACTAAATTACTCATAGTATCCATTATTGCAGGGCTCTGTGCACACTCTTCCACCATGTTTCTCAAATCACCTGCGGAACCCATGCCTGTTTGCTCTGCTACATTGGACAACAGATTGCCAAAAGCTGGGTTGTTTAGCACACTGGATATCATACTGCCAAAATCAACTTGTCCTTCACCACCCTGTCTTCTCGGAGGCATTCCACCAGAAAACTGAGAAGTAGTGGATGGAAGTGGAGAATCCGTAACATGGCTTCTGTTTACATTAGTATTTTGAGAAGCAAGGGCTTGCAGAACCTGCTGGCCCATTGAAACAGCATTTTGGCTATTGCTGATGCGAGAGGAATTGACGACTTCGCCAGTATCACTGCTACTCCCAGGTGGCTTTGCTGTTCTGCTCCGCCTCTGCATCAAAGCAGTTTCAGAAGGGGGGATCATATCATATTTGGGACAAATAATCATGTATGAATGGCATACTACGTTTTCTCAACAGTAAAATGTCTGCCATTTTCATTCAGACCAAATGGTGAAGTGATTAAACCAATCAACTAAACTGCTGCCAACCATGGCAAATTCTAACCCCGCTAAGATATGGATAACAAAATGCAGGCTAAACAATCAAATTACAGGAAACATTATTACTAAAAAGTAAACACTAAAATAATTAACTAATACCTTAGGCTGCAAACCTCCACCAAGACCTACTGGTTCAGACCTACTACTTGCAGATGGCTTAATGGACTGTGCAGATACTCCATCCAATGGAATGTTCTTCTGTGAAGAATTTTCTGCTGATCTGTTCACAGAAATATCATCTGTACAGGTGGTTGTGATCTGCCCCACTAAGTTGGCTGTTGTTGATTCCTCAGAAGGTTTTCTGACATTATCTGCATGGATCCCTTCCATCTCTGGATGTTGTTGAATACTGCCGATGTTGGGAGCATTTTCAGTGCTGCTGTCTTCCGATGCTAAATTGGGATCAGATGTGTTTGAAGGAGAAATACCTGATTAGAGAAATTAAAACAAACAGGAATGGTGAACAATTCAGTACATTTTCCATTAGAGAAAATGTTCGATACATTAAAAAGAATGTAAAGGCACCTGCTCCAGCTACAAGAGATTGTGCATTTAGTGAAGTGCGTCCATTGTTAGAATCTGACAGCTCATTTTGCAGTTGCGTACTTGCTGATACCAGAGAATCCACATTGTCAACTCCATTAGTTGTGACCGAGCGAGATCCCTGATCTACTGTGTTCTGCGCAGATGATGAAACCTGGCCTTGTTGATTTGCACTCAATGCATTGGCTACTTGTGCAGTTACCTGTGCCACTATAGAAGGAATGCTAGCAACACCACCTACAGAGGCTTGTGGTTGAGATCCACCGCCCACTGCAGTCTGAGAACCTTGAGAAACTGTTGATTGATTAGGCATTGCTACTTGACTCCTCACTTGAACAGGCAGGATAACACTCAGGACATGGTTTGGAGCCTCAGCCGTGGACCGTGCAGGAATAGCCGCAATAACTGTCCTTGCTGGCAATCCATGCATTGAGGTAGCAGATGGGTTACCTCCTTGAGTTCTTTCCACATTTTGACGACCTTCATTGACAGCGCCTGCAGAAGCAGTGGTCATACCAGCAGATGACCCACTTGTTGTAGAAGTACCTAGTAAAGGATCATATCAAGTCTGAGTGGAAGCTCAGGACAGACAAGAGTGTGACAAAAGAATTGTAATCAAAGGCCACCAAGATGACAGTATCCAGGTGTAAATAAACCCTGTGGAAAATCCCATAAATATATTACAGCTATTATGATCTTCCGGTCTGGTTAGGGGTAAATCAGGAGGAGGGGGTAATATGTGGGAAAACTAACACAAAGATGGTGAAAAAAGAATCGTAATTAAAGGCCACCAATATTGTATCCAGGTGTAAATAAACCCTGTGAAAAATCCCATAAATATATGAAAACTGTTATGATCTTTCAGTTCTGGTTAGAGGTAAATCAGGACGAAGCAGGTAATATAGGGAAGAACTCCCTCGTGTTCAAGAAAAAAAAAAGGGAAATAACTAACAGATAATTTACCTACTAACCTATTAGTGTAATAGTTTGTAATCATAGGCCATAACCATAACCATTTGAACTTCTCAGTAGAGATTAAGGATTTGAAATGGTAGCTTCATGACTCAGCTGAGTACACTCAACAGAGCCACTGAAGAGAACTTGAAATGTGATCTTACCATGGGTATTGACAGCAGATGTACGAGAAGGATCAACAATACCAAAGGCACCAGAAATTCCACCGAGGACTGGTATGCTCGAAACTCCAAAAGGAGGAGTATTTTGAAAAGATGGCTGCAGAGCAATAGAATGTGTGTTGTCATTAAAGTGGCACAACAATTAAAGTCAACATGAGAAAGCATCTCAATGTATGTCACCTGAACCATGATTGGATTCGGTCCTGCAGAGTTTATATAAACAGAAGATCCAGCATTGACAAAAGCATCAGCCTACCAAAATAAGAAGCGTTATGAAATTAACACATGCAGAAATCAGTTAAATACTATAATAGAGAATTTAAATTAAGCATACAGGGGATGGCCCCATCCGAAGCATCATCATTGTTCGACCAAGCTCCAAAAACATTGCACCCAAATGCTGCATTGCTACTCCCAGCTGAGCTGATTCATTCTGGATCTGGCTACGTATAGATGCATCACTGGTGCCAGAATCTCTCTGGATTCGTTGTGCGAGATGCTGAAACAAATATCAGGTAAACAGAAGGTCATCAAAATTCCAAATAGAAGCATGCGTCTGTGAATTCAAAGGTAAGCTATTTCACTGTACTCAGTCTTGAAGCTGCGTACATATGACCCCTTTGAATCAATAAGCGTTGAGAAGTATGAAATGTGGGTATCATAATAAAAAAAGAGAAAAGAACCGAACTAGGAAGACTAATGTCCCATTGATACCTTTGAGAGGTCCACTTAGACCTTTCACATGTCAATCAATGCTAGAGAAGAATGAAAAACAGATCAAGTGTACGGCACCCAAAGGAAAATGTTAGCAGGGATAGTGCAGAAAAGAATGAAAAACAGATCATCAGTCTCTCAAACAAATAACATCTGGTGTTTATAAATACCATTTGAATTCTCATATAATATTCAGGGATAATGCAGAGTGGTGGTACAAAACGTTTACAAATACCATTTGAATCCTCATATAATATTCAGGGATAATATAGAGCAGTGTTACACGGCACTAAGGCAGACCTAGTACCCAAGGCAAAACAAAAATTATATTCAAAACACAACACTAGAGTGTTATTTTTGTACCACGAAGTGGCTAAAAGTTCCTCCTAGTAGTTGTTATAAAGCCTAATCATCTATATTGTAACAAGTAGTATCAGCCATTAAATGTATATGGTCCATTAGAGATAACTGTGAGCAGGATTATGGTCACGGAATGGGACAATGGATTTATTTTGGTTTAAATCTCCATAGTTTTGTCTCAAATAAGAGAACTGAAAAGTAGTACATTGGCAACATATTGATGTTCAAAGAGAATTATTTTGCTGATTAGAAAGAAGGCAAAATCATTACAAAATATAGTACTTACAAAGAAGGATAAACTATACGTCGACAAGATATCACTATAAAGGCTGAACCACTGAAGCTAAAAAGAACTTAATATAAGTACCAGAGAGGATAACATACTGAAAGAGCAGAAGCAGCACTGCCACCAAGAAGTTGTTGGGCTCTTTCAATGACTGACACCAGAACCTCAGGACTTGGAAATCTTTGATTTAGATAAGCATCATCCGATCTTGGTGGCTGCTGGGTATTTGTATCAACAGATGGTGTGCCTGAATTTGCAACATAAAGATGAACATGACAGTATTTTATGACACACATCAAACTAACAAATTGCAACAAACGATACCGTTATTCTGTAGTACTTGATCCATGCGGTTGATATACTCCAAAAGAGTTGTGAGAGAATCAGGAATAACCTGTCAATGGTGCTAAAAGTTATAATGATGATTATACATGGGAAAACACCAATGAAAAAAGTACAGTTTACTAACCATGTTGCGAGGAATAGAGCCTGCTGGTTGTAGTTGTGATACTTGGATTTGATGATTCAGAATTGAAAACCCTGGTTGTGCATGATTCCCTGGTTGAGTTCTTCCATTGACATTATTGGCCCCTTCTGGTGCAGTGGTTAAAGGCACCTAATCAAGTAAACATATAGAAGTCAAATACCGAGATGTCTCAGGTTACTAGACCTAAAGAAGTAACACCTTATTACCGAAAATGTAGTGTTTGTCATGCCACCAGGCGTCGCAAGACCTAGGGAGCCAAGGATATCCCGAACACTCTGCAGATAACAGGTGGGAGGAAATCACATCAATAAACATATAAAGGTTCTGGTCCCCATTTAGACAGGTACATATAACACTAGAACAAAGCATATACCCTAGCCAGGTCATCTATCATCCCCTCAGAATGCATAGCCTCTATAATTTCCTAGAAGAGAGTTAATGAAAAAGAATTCAAAGAAAATTAAAGTTAACCTGTAGTTGTTGCTAAGAGTTAAGCAGATTGGAAATTTTAAGTATACGAGACAAAGCGATGTTAGAAGCATACCCTGGAGATATCTCCTAACAGTCCATTTCCAGCAACATTAACTGCACGTAAAAAGATTATCAGACCCATACCCAGCATATTGCTGTAATATACCTAAAATCAGGTACAGAGGAAATACACTCTGGTACCACAAAAGGTAGTGCCAGTCAATATAACCCAAGTTGATTTGTTATGCTCTATCTATATATTGTAATAACTAGAAACACAGTAATGCTTACATAAATACAGTTAAATAATGGTGTTTTTAGTTCACAAATTAAATGAAAAATAAAGCGAAGGACTGTTCAAGCCTTCATCTACTTAGCCTGAAATGCTTACCTAGCTATTTTTTACAATAACTAGCAATAACTATTTTTCTGCCCTTCAAAGGGCAATAATATTTTATCCAGTATGAGCTTGACACAATTAATATATAGAACAGACACATGGAAACATGGTATTGAAGAGTGAAAACGCACATAAATTGTTTACGATACTACGAAAACTTGTGCAGCACATGGCTCTGAGGACTAATAGGTCATAGGCATATCAGGTGCGTTCTATATTGATAGTATACTCTTCAAAGCAACCCCCAACTTAACTTACCATTAGCATGGGTGTTTTCATCAGAAGTACCAGAAGAATGTTGGCCTTCAGCAGCTGCACGCCGAGCAACCAAATGCAATGTGTACCCATCTTCCAAATCTTGAGGTTGTCAAAGATATAACTATCACAACTGTCGTGTTTACAAACGAAATATCACAAGAAAACCGAAAATGATAAATTACATCATGTGGTGATGAAAATCGTTGATCCAAGGAACCCCTCATTACCACCAACGATGCAGTTAAATACTGGTGTTCAACCACCTCAACTTAACAAATATCATCAAGGTCTACAATGATTTGAGGTTCTTGCCCATATTTGCAAAGAATTAATGCTTAGATACTTCAATTTGACATTTTACTACTTTATTTTGTCTCATTGGAAGGCCATTATGAAATCACTACCAAAGCAAGCAGCCCTAATCCCAACAAAAGCATCAGGCACTCTACTCTTCTAGCAGTAACGAAATCACCCTTACTGGCCCAAAAGAGTTGTGTATCTTCCCGGCCTATTTATAACTAAGCAACTAAAGATGGGAAACAAAATGCAGGTAAATAGTGTATATAGCTCAAGTTCTCAACAGCAACAAGCGAGGTGAGTCTCTAGATGGTTTGATTGTCTTCAAGCATTCAAAAGAAGAAGCATGAACAAAAAGGATACGATATTCTGATAGCAGGTGATCGTCCTTTAAGACTCTTCCTCTAAAAATCAACCGCTGTTGGTCCACAGGAACCCCGGTTGCCTCTACTATCTTCTCTTTAAGGACCAGAACAGGTACCTAAAAATTTTTCAGTGATTAGATTGTCTCAAAACAAGTACATGGGAGAATTCATCTTGTCGTTCTAACTATAAGGAACTGACATTCTATAGCATTTCTAGTATCTCTTCAAGCAAGCAACACTCAACAGACACACAGAGACATAATAGCAAACTGTCAAGGTGGGGCGAAGCATACATTCTTCTTAACACGGAGCTTATGAACTTGTGAATCCAGGGTTTTGATGTTGATCTCAATGGTAGCCTCTGGATCATCGCCAGCTTTTACTGTTGAACTGCTGGCCCCGACAGACGCATCTTCAGACATCCTACAGAACGAGGAACTGAATAGTATCAGATGCTGCATAAACCACAAGCTACAAAATTCGAAATTATGATTCCTAGACATGTTCAGAATTCTTCATAGTCAACTCACTCCACGCCTAAGATTACACAGCCAGTTAAACCCCTGCATTTAAGCACAAGATCTCAACAGAGTTCCGGCAGCAACAAGTAGAGCGCCTTCCATCTACGAAGAAACCAGTACCCTCATTCCTAGCTTAACATTAGAGAAAATTCCATAATTTTAGGTTCTAGGACTCCATCAAGCATTTAAAAGCAGATTACGGGAGACCCTAATCGTTCTGTCCTCTTATCAGAAGACGCTCCGTACCGCAAATAAAATTTTTAGCAGCTCAGAATGGCTAGGACCGATCCCTTCCAAAAGGAGAACTTCGCAAGCAATTACAGCCTCAAAATCATATCCCTTCCCCCCTTAGCTCTGAAATGCGTCGCCATTGTCCTCTCCGCCAAGTCGCGTATGCCCCCAATAGGATGAGGCTTCAATTCCCGAATAATTAAAAAAAAAAAAAGAAGAAAAAGAAAAGCAGAAGATCGAGCCATACGTGGAATCCGGAGAGGGCCCGAGCCGCCGAGGCCACAAGTAGAGAGTCGGCTGCGCCCCGCGCGAGGCGAGCTGAGCTGGCGGCGGCGTTGGGGTGGGGGACTAGGGTTGCTGGGAGCGGAGGGGTTGGCAAGCGGCGGATGAACCGGGCGAGAGGCGGCGGCGACCGGATCGGGGGCCGATGCGGCGGTTGCTCCTGCCCGATGGGGGGCAGCGAGGATTTTTCCGTGGCGATTTTTCTTTTTCCTTTTTTGCGCTTTATTAGGGTTGCGAGTTGTGTGAGAAGTGAGAACTGAGAAGAGGAGGGCGCCGCAGTGAAAGAAGAAGAAGAAGAAGAAGAAGAGGGGGAGGAGGTGAGGAGGGAGGGGGCAGTGGGGCACATGTCCGGGCTGTTCCGGAAAGTTCCACGGCGGTTTCGTTCTTGGGGATGCTTTGCCTTGCTTATCACTCGATCCAATAGGAGCAGCCAAATGCCACTCACGGGAGAAGGCTCAAAGGCTGATTATAATTACTTTGTTTTTTGTTTAATGAAAAAAACCTTAAAATTAGCTCCAAATTTAAAGTTACGAATTTATATTTTGGTTGATAAGTATTAGCATAAGCGAAAAGATAAGGCCTTTCAAATTTTTTTACATGCATCATTTGTTTTATAGAAATAGATCACATCTAATTCTTAAAGATTATATTCTTACAATCTAGTACCATTTGATTTTTGACATGAGATGAGAGCTCTTGAAAAAATTCCTAAGGATTAGAGTACGTAACACCCTAATCCTAATTCTTACTTTTCGTGTTCCTATGATTTAGAAACCATATGAATCAAATAAGCACTCAGATCTACGAGACATATTATAAATGATCATCAAAAGATGCTAGTGCATGAATATTTACATGGGTATACGTAACTAGTCATATGTCTCCTAGCAAGCAAGTTACATGTGCATGTCCTCCCTCTAGATATCAATGGAAACGAAAAAGGTAAGCACACACAATTTTTATCGCTATGCATAGTATCTAGTTTTTTCTATTGAAATATTCGTTAGTATTTTTATGATTAAAAAATTTCATTTGGAAATAGAAAAACTTCATATAAGAAATTTTTGAACATGGATACAAACTTTAACTATAAATAAAACTTCAACGGAAAAACTTCCAATACGAAATATTGAGCATGAGAAAGTTTTGCTATAATTTGAGAAACCTTTTATTTTTTAGAAAACTTCCCATTGTGTTCAGTGAGCTAATCTTATGACTTATGAGACCTATGGAGCGGTTGGTTATCCTATGTGAAGCCACATAACGAGTGATTATGCAGAAGGCAAAAGAAAAGCCATGCTGAGTTATTACATTAATATTTCTAGGTAAAAATTACACACATAATTATATCATATCGATCTCACGTAAAGGGAGAAGTTGTATCAGGAAAATTGGTTGTTTAACCGATGATGATGAATAATATTAATGCGAAGGTTAACCTTGGCATTCGTTACCGTAAGAGACTAATACAATTAGTTGGAGGTAAGGAAAGGAATAGGATGTAGCTAGAGAAAATTATAGCTTTTAGTCCATTACTTTTAAGTAAATCACCACTAAAATATTAGAATTTTTAATTGTCCAGACATGGTCCACCTTGGTGGGTCTAATGCGCGAACGCGCGCTAGCATCGAACCTAGCGAACAGAAAACGACAAAAAGAAAAATAGAGCCGCGCAAAAAAAATTGTTTTCCTGTTTCTCGTTTTCCTTTCACGCGATGGTAAAAGATAATCTTTTCCTTTTTATCGTTTTTCTGTTAGGAGGTTTGATCAGATTGGATTATACTTTTTTTTTGAAAAATATATTAGTATTTTTAGGCTGTGTTTAGTTCACACCAAAATTAAAAGTTTGGTTGAAATTGAAACGATGTAACGAAAAAGTTGAAAGTTTGTGTATGTAGGAAAGTTTTGATATCATAGAAAAGTTGGAAGTTTAAAGAATTATTTTGGAACTAAAAACGGCATTAGTTTTATATTTCTAGTAAAATTTATGCACTAAACTTTTTAATTATAGATTTAATTTGTATATAAAGTTTGCATATACAAAGTCTACATATACAAAGTTTATATATTCAAAGTCCATATATATAAAGTTTACATATATGAAGTCTCACTTTATATAGAAAAGTTTCCCCAGAAATTGTTTGTATAGAAAATTTCCGTTAAGAATATATAAAAAATACTATGTATAACGAAAAAAGAAATATGAGAAATAAACAGAAGTGAAGGAAAGAAATAGAAATACCTATTACAGAAGAATCACGTAAAAGATGCAACGGATTACATAAGAGAATCACGTAAAAGAAGGGAAAAAATGAAAACGGAAGAAAATGATGTGTCCTCATGTTTGGCGTGTCCCTTCTGACTGATTCGCCGGACACGAAACGTTCGTTTTCGCTCCACCTTCATCTTCTAATAACCAAAAAGCCTGCATTATTCGGTTTGTCACCCTTCCCATTTCCTTCATACCAGTGATATGTTCATACCAGTACTTACCAATTTTAGCGATCTTGGGCCCAGCCCACCAACAAAAGTACTTATGATGGCCCAGCAGTAGCCTTTTTAGGCCCACACGGCGATCGACTCGCGTCTTCGCCTCACTCCGCCGCCACGTCACCGGATCCCCCACGCCTCGCTTCCCCCACCGCGTATGCCGCCGCCGGCGAGGAGCCCGGCCGCCGGCGTGCGGAGGCGAGGCGCGCTCCTCCCCCTCGCTTTCCTCCTCCTCCTCCTCCTCCTGCTGCTGCACCTGACCTCCTCGCCTGCCCGCTCCCCCAACTCCCCGCTGCTCCGCGGCTCCGGCGACGGGGAGCCCCGGCAGCGCGGGCCCTGCGACTACGCGTCCGGCGAGTGGGTTCCCGACGACGACGATCCCGCGGTGTCCGGCGGCCTGAGGTACGACCAGACGTGCAGGGAGATCTTCAAGGGGTGGAACTGCCTCGCCAACGGGAAGCGCAACGGCCGGGAGCTGCTCCGATGGCGGTGGAGGCCACGCGGGTGCGAGCTCCCCAGGCTCGACCCGCTCCGTTTCCTGGAGTGCCACAGGAACACCAGCATTGGTCCGTGCTCGTTCCCATTTCGTGTGTTTTTTACCACTGCAGCTTGTTCTATGGTGACTAGAATAGTAGAACTTGAGGAGGGAGTTATGTGCAAGGTAAATGTGGCGCTGCAATTTACAAGCTAGATGCAGTTCATTCTGTAGCGAGGATCATTTGACATTGCCAATGAAGGCATCTTTGTGGAGTGTAGCAACGTGCATTGTGCGTGCCGCTTTTAGCTTGGAAAGATCAGCATGGAAGGAACGTGGTTTCCACCTGATTAATTTGCAATTCAAGGTAGTATATTTTGCCATGCGTGAATTGTATGTCAAATATATAGAAGACGTGTAAATTTTTACCTGCAATCTTGTAGTTTGATTATGTGGCGGAGCATGTTCAGTTGTTGAGGCTCTCATACATGTAAAGAATCTTAGTTGGACAAGAAGTCTCGACTTGCTGTTCATGATTTATGTTTAATGGTTTGTTGCAGGATTTGTGGGTGATTCATTGAACCGGAATATGTTTGTCTCGTTGGTCTGCATGCTTAGGGGGGCGAGTGGGGAGGTTCGCAAGTGGCGTCCTGCAGGAGCAGACCGGGGTTTCACATTCCTGCGCTATAACCTCACCCTCGCATACCACAGGACTAATCTTTTGGTACGCTATGGTAGGTAAGAAGTGTCATTTGAGTAATACCAAATTATAGTTCTTTGGAAGTATGGTGTACTCCACATCATGCAATTCCCTTCTGTGTTACAACTGATTTAATTATATAAGTACAATTCTGTGCACAGTAGTACATATTTTTGTTCTGCAGCTTTGGGCATTTGCTATTTTGCTTTCAGTTTTGGACTGTAGCTGTTACTTACTAGTAGTATTGGAATGCTTACCAGTAGGCAGTAGTAAACTTTTCTCTTGTCTGTTGACTACTGTTTGTCTTTATATTTTCATTAATTTTTAAATATAGTAGACTCTGCCGCTTTCTTAATGTTTTTCACTGCGTCATAGTTTTTCTTTCATGATGTTGTTGCTCATATATTGCTGAGGTTATTACTCAAAGCCGTATAATGCTGATGTTGTAGGTGGTCAGCCAGTCCAAATGGGGGTCCCCTAGAATCTCTTGGATACAAGCAAGGCTACAGAGTAGACGTTGATATTCCTGACCAAACATGGGCAGAGGCACCAAGCTTCCATGATGTTCTTATTTTCAACACAGGGCATTGGTATGTGAACATCAATCATAAGCCAGATAACATTTTTTTCACTTAGATGCCCAATTAAGTAGATCCTGATCCATGAATGTTATTTCATGTTTGAAAACTTTGAGTAACCAGTTAACAGCAGAAATTTATTACGTTAATCTTCCTTGTACTGTAGTTCCAATATTTGCCTTCTCCCTCAAACCTCGGATATCTAACTAGATATTATCCACCAATCAAGATTTGTGTTGCTATTGATCTAGCTTATTAACTAATTTTTGCCAGGACATATAGTAATTTGGAAATACGCCTACCTTTAACAAACACTTTCCAAGTATGAGAAATTAAGTCTGGAAGCTTCTCTTGGATATGATTGGCCAATGTTTTTGCAATAATTTTTGTAAGAAATGTTACGAAGACTTGTAGGTCTATAATCAGCAGGAGTGGCAGGACTGGATATTTTTTGGAATTAAAACAATGTTGGTAGCGTCCATACCTTTTTGCAAATTTAACTGCATTGTAGAACTCCTGTACCATTTTGGTGACATCATTCTCAATCCATTGCCAAGCTGCTCTATAAAACGCCACATTTAGCCCATCTAGTCCTGGAGATGCATCTCTTCGCATTTGTTTGAGGATCTGAAAATTTTGCTCCTCTGTTGGAACTTCCGGTGGCTCAAAAGTGTGTTGCCCTTGCTGATCTTGAGAGGATGTGACTCCTTAATCTGTGTTTGAAGTCTGGAAAAGATCTAAATAAGAGATAAATGTTGAGCAATTTCGTCAGGATCAGTTGTTAGATGATTATTATGCATGACAATTGGTATCCTGTTTTTCCTTCCCCTTTTTTGAGCTGCTTGCTGAAAGAAAGCTGTGTTTCAACCACCTATTTGGACCCAATATTTCTTAGCTCTTTGCCTGTGAAAATCCTTGTTGCTGAGCCAAGTTTCTCTCTTGAAGGGCTAGTTAATCTCTATTCGGAGAGCTCTGGATTTTTCAGGATTTTTTCCTCTACTTGGCATAGTTTCTGGCTTCCTGCTGAAGGGGTTTCTTCCTTTTGCTCCAAGCAAAGTAGTTCTCTTTTGGTAATTAAGATGCTCCGAATTTTTCCAAGCTGCCTGAGCTTCCTGTTGAAAATCTTACCCCCCACCCCCCACCCCCCAAAAAAATAAATTCCACCACTTGTCAAATTTGAAAGTTCTTTTAGGTTTTCTGTTTTTAGGATTTAAAATAGAAATAGTTTGAGTATGATCACTATAAAGCTTAGGTAAATGGTAGGCAGTAGTATTAGGAAAATGCACACCATTCAACATTTCCTAAACAACAAACAAGATGTTCAAGGACCAGATCCTTACCATCTCTTTTGTTTGACTAGGTGTAGGCTGGGCCATTATACTTCAGGTATATAAGATCAATATTTCTGATATGATGTTGAAAAATGTCAATACGAGTTTGATTAGCAGGTGTAGCACCAGACTTCTCATTAGCATGCATAATATCATTCAAACTGTTTTGGTAAACTGTTTTTATTCTTAGCTAGAATGCTAGATATATCTATAGATGTATGCAGCTTGCTACACGATAAGGGCTAATTTGCTAAGCTATCTCCTGACTTCCTGACTCTCGTTTATTTTGTTAAAATGCATAAATATTATCTTTGCTGGGATTCAAACTCATGTATTTTGTACAGGTGGTGGGCCCCTTCAAAATTTAATCCAGTACAGTCACCAATGCTATTCTTTGAGAAGGGGATTCCAGTTATACCTCCTTTATTGCCACCTGCAGGACTGGATTTGGCTCTTAAACACATGGTATGGATATCTGCGGTTGTCTTTTGAGAAAAAAACATTTTATTTTCTTGATAATGCATAACTATTAAGTATTTTTGAACTTTTTGTGTAATTTTGTCCCGAAATTATTTGCTGATTACAGAATGAGGTGTTTTTTTTTGTGAAATATTATATTACCAATGGGCTATAAGCTTAAATATTAGCCATGTCTCCATGAGAGAGAGAGAGAGAGAGAGAGAGAGAGAGAGAGAGATTGTACTTCATCAAGCAGTAAATTCAATTTGTTCTTGTTGCCTTTTCCTTAAACTAGCTGAATGCTCATACTTTCCCACGGATAAAAGAAAACATATTTATAATATTGCCCACAACAACTACAAATATATTTTCCATAAATGTGTCATTCATCCTTTTACTATAGGGAATATTCACCTTAATTTGATTTTATGCATGGCTATCCATTTAGATTTGTTATTTTTTAAAATATTAAGAAGTAGATAGGGTGGCAGATTCAGTACCACCATCACTACCTTCTTTAAAGGAGTATAGATATAGAAAATATTTTTCCACCTTTGTTTTACTTGAATATATATATTTCCACCTTGTGAATTTTATTTGATTGTTGGGCCTTAGTAGCCTTCGTATGTATCCAAGGTGAACATTACTAACTTCCTGTTTTCTGTCGTTATGCCACTCAACCTATCTTCCTCATTCTATGGATATACAATGTCCATCAGATAATATTTGTGAACAAAGCAATGAGACCCAATGGGGTGAAACTCTTCCGCACTCAATCTCCTAGGCATTTTGAAGGTGGTGACTGGAATGAAGGTGGATCTTGTCAACGTGACAAGCCCTTGTCTGCAGAAGAGGTACTGAAACTAAAGCTCATTACATACTTTGATTTTTGTTGTCTTCCTTTACATTATTTTCTTTTCTTTACCTTTTCCTTTATGCTAAGCTTAACAAGCTGACTATTTGTGCTAAGCTTAACAACTTGTATATCTGAATCAATGGCACACCATCTGTTTTACCTTGACATAGATGAATAGGAATTTGATTCCTTCAATTGCCTGAACTTAACCTTTTTGTCGAGGATTCTAAAATCTTTTTTCAGCCACCTGTAATCTTCCCTGTTTTCAATTTTCTGTGTTCTTTTGCATGGACCTAATCATTTCAAGCACATCTGACACAACCAACAATTCAGCATTCAGTTGACAATTAAAGAGCTGCAATTTTGAACTATTTATCCTCTGTGGACATCAATTTTTGTACCTAACACCACAAATCCATTAGTATATTGTATTTGCGCTATAAATATGCATTAACTGATAGTTAATTTTGTTTTCCTCTGTTGGGAGAACAGTCTTCTGTTAAGTAGCGTTTGATATGAAGATGATTGGATGATTAATTGTTCTGTATTGCAGTCATATTATTCTTTTCCCTTTCTTTTATTGGTCCAAATACCAACTATAGGGGTTTGAGAACTTGATGCCGCTTGGAACCTGGAAATTTGATATTAATACCTTGAGCTCAACCTTCTTCAGGTTGAGGAACTTTTCTCTTTGGACAACAATGGCACAAACGTAGAAGCACGCTTGGTAAACCAGCACTTGGTGAGGGCTCTTGAAAAGTCTACTTTCAATGTTCTGAATATAACTGGAATGAGTGAATTCAGAGCTGATGCTCATCCTTCAACAACTGGTGGGAAGAAGCATGATGATTGCATGCATTGGTGTTTGCCAGGGCCAACAGATACATGGAACGATTTGCTAGCAGCAAATCTATTGGCGACTGAGAGTTAGTTTGACAAAACGTTGAGACTCTTTTGCTTGAGAAATTCTCCCGAGATTTTTGTGGGTTGTGAACATGATGAAGCATCGATCGTTGCACAGCATTGTTTTGATCAAAGCTTATTCACGGCAGCTTCTTCATATAGGCATTAGAGTATTGAGCATTAGACAATGTAAAGTTAACTTCATTTTTGTGTCATTGTGTGTGTGTTTTGGGCGGTGGGTGAGGTACTTCTGTTCAAATTTGTCCTAGAGTTTGGATAGTGATTCTGTCCATCTGTAAACTGCTTCCTAAACTACTAAACGGTGTATATTTTTGCAAAAAAATTATATACGAAAGTTGCTTTGAAAAATCATATTAATCATTTTTGAAGTTTAAAATAGTTTATACTCAATTAATCATACGCTAATGGCTCAACTCGTTTTGCGTATCTTCTCAATCTTCTCTTTTTCTCTCCTCTCAAACTCACAAAAACTGATGAAAACTTGTGATTGGCAAATGGTTGATTATCTTGTCATCCAATCGTTTGCGAGAGCAAATAGAAAAATACCGTCCTTTGACCATGTATTGTATGTTGATGCATTGATTGCATCTTACTTTCTTCGTCTTAAAATAAATCAATCTCATACTGAATATGACACATCCTAGGAGAATGCTGAGGATTGGGCGTCCGATCCGGCGGAAAAAAATTGGACACCTGTCACGCCTCTAACTAGCCCGAGCGGAACTAGCCCGTGATGCTCCAAATTAACCTGTTAACCGATACTAGTCCTAGAAAATAGTGCTGGTATCATAGGAAGATTGAATATCACAGCATCAGAAGTCTCTTTATTACAGAGTAAGAGTACAGTCATGTTAGGCTGCGGACAGATCCCGAGCTCACAACTGCATTACAAAAGGGGAAAGCGGAAGTCAAGACTTAAACCACTCATCACAGGCGCGACTTGGGAACTAGACCGAAACCCTAAAACTCATCGAAGCCGACATGCTCCTGGAAGAACTCCTCATCAGCGGGATCCACTTCATCTTCTTCAGCAACGGGGGGGGGGGGGGGTTTATTTATATAGAGCAAGGATGAGTACAGGAGTACTCAGCAAGTCATGGGAATTAAGTGTTTAATGCAGGCTTCAAAGGAAAGGCTGTTGTTTTTGCAATGATTTTTGTTAAACTCCTTTTTGAAACAACTAAGTGAGTGCTTCTCGAACGACACGGAGGAGACAGTGCGTCTCGTCCGGTCGGAGTATGTGCATTGTATCAGTCTTTGAATAGATCAAGGCTGGCACCCGGCCAACAGCTTTCAAACGGCCACCCGGGCCTGGCTGATCCCATCAGCCGCAGATTTTCCAAACATCGAACCCATTCCACAACAACAATCTCACAAAGCAGTAGTCAAACAAAACTATACTAGGAATCACCTCATATCCGCCCATGACCGTGGGCACGGCTGTTCGAACAATTTAATAACCTCTACAGAGGGGGTACACTTTACCCACACGACATTACTCACTCGGATCACCCAGCCCGTGCAGAACGGCCACGTCTGGAGACCTTGAGGCTTTCATGACAAGGCATTTCGAAAGCCGACACAGGTTCACCATATGCCAACGAGAGGGGTCCCAGACCAACACCAGGTTAGGTCCCAGACCATACTGTGCCAGGAAACCCGGGGGTTCTCCTCGACACCACCCTATTGAATCCACATGTCTCTTGGCATCATGGTTCCCCCGATTAGCTAATTACTCAGCCAGAGGTGTCCCATTCCACCCATGTGGTCGCACTTGTCTTATGTTCGGATGAAATTCCAAGGAAACGGTCCTTAAGTGCAAGAGCGGGAAACCGTACTCCCGGTACGTCCCCTGGTCTGCGGTTTTGGAAATTCATTTAGTTCGCAAACACCGACCCAGGTGTCAGGTTTTTCAAGTATTTTGTAAATCCCCAAGTTTTACCCATCGTTGGACATTTTAAATTCGAGGGGAGGTGTTTCGATGCGCGTGCCCGAAGGCCCGTTCATCGAAGCACAACAGTTGACAAGGGAGGTGTAAGTGTTCAATAATTCAAGGAGGGTAATTGCAGCAATTAAGATTGGGGCCGGCAGGCTATCTTGCAAGTCGCAGCCGAATTACTTGTGTTAAACCTATTCATGCAATATTTGTGGAAAAGAAATACTTAGATTTAAATTATAGGTGCAAGATGATCAAAGGTGACTTGCCTTGCTCGAGATCTTGAGCTTGATACTCGAAATCCTCGCACTGCGGGTCTTCAGGCTCCAAAACTACACGCGAAATGGGACAACTCAACAAACGGCGAAAATAAAGCCCTATTATTGACCTCTAAGCATGCCATTAGATAGATCTCGAGATTTGAGAAATTTTTGGAAGTTGAACGGAGTCAAACGGATGTACGGTTGAGAAGATATTGAATTTCTACGATTATTGGATTTTTGTCTAAAGGGAAAAGGATTTAATTAAATCCTTTTTGAAAAAGAAAGGGAGGAGGGAGGGGTATTAGACTTCCCTCGGGCAGCTAGGGCGCGACCCGAGAGAAGGGGCGCGGCTCGGCCGAGCTAATGGGCTGGCCGGCCCTTGAAGGCGGCCCAAAGGCACGCGCGGGGGAGAGAGGGAGGGGGAGCCGTTGGGCCGGGTCCACCTCGCGCGGTCCCGAGTGGGACCCGCTTGTCGGCGGCTCGGCTCACCGTGCCGAGGAAGCACGCGACGCGACGCTAGGGTTTGGAAGAGGGGCGCAGTGTACGCGCGCGGCGGGCCCACGCATAGCCTCTCGGCTCTCCGTGGGCCGCGCACACGCGAGCGGGGACGGAGGGAGCGGCTGACCGGGGTCGGCTTGACCCGGTCCGGCCGAGCTGGCGCCGACGTGGCGCCTACGTGGCTGCCACGCGGGCCGGCGGGAGGAAGACGACGACGCGGCCGTGAACGGACGGCGGACGGTAGCGGCGGCGTTCGGGGCGAAGCGCAGCGACGCAGGCAAGGGCAAGCACACCGGGAGGTTTCATGGGACGAGGGGAGACGAGCCAACAGCTCGGATTTGCCGGAGGGGGCTCGACGGCGGCGGATTGCGGCGGCAGCCACCGGCGGCGAGATGAGAGGGAAACGGCGACGACGCGACGGGGGATCGATTCCTACGCACTAGAGCATCTACGCGACTCCGGGAAACCATTCCTAGCGTCGGATTAGGAGGAAACACACCGAGGAAGGCCGGCGACGAGAGGCGTCTACTGAACTCGGGCGACGACGGCGGCGAGCACACAACAAACAGCGGCAGCGGTCGGGGCGGCGCCAGCTAGCTACAAGAGGTCTACACATGCTACTGCCGAAAGCTAGGGGGAGGAGGAGGAACGAGGAAGGGGAATGGGGAGATGCACTACCGCGACGGTGAAGGGCGCAGTGACGAGAGCCGACGGCGCGAAACGTGATCATTTCGGCCTCGGGCCGGGGAAGAGGAGGAAGACGAGCGCCTGGAGTCCACGTCACGTGTCCACGAACGCGCCTACTCCTCCGGCACACTCGGCAACGGACGGCGACAGCAAAACAGGGCAAGGGAGCGGCAATGGCGCGGCGAGCTCGAGTGAATGGAACCAAATGAGAGAGGGGTAGGGCGACTCTTATAGGCGCAGGATGGAGCTTCGAGGGGAAGGAACGGGTGCTCACGGGCGCGGTCAAACGCGGGCAACGGGCTGGCACCGGCGCCAGGCGCTCCTCTTCCATGGCGCTAGCTCCAAGCGGAGGGAGGGCAGAGGCCGGGCCGAAAGAGGAAAGCGGGAAACAGAGGGGGGAGAAAGAGGGCTCAAACTTTGCCGAGTTGGGGAGGGAGAGGGATGGGAGCGGGAGCTCTGCCTCCAGGTTTTGGACGGATGCGGGTGGCGCGGCTCGGGCATGTGCGCTGGCTCGCGGGGCAGGGCGCGGCGCAGGTGGCGCAGTGTGGCAGGGGCGAGGGGCCAGGCGGCGCAGGCGCGGCACGGGCGGCAGGCGACGGCGACGACCGCGGCACCACGTGGGCGCGCGCGCGCGAAACAACGATGCGCGGAGGATTCGAAAATCGCGGGCGGGGAGCTCGACGGGGATGGAGGCGGGGAGAGGGAGAGCGAGAGAACGAGAGAGAGAGATGGCGCTCGGCTTGGCGTCGACTCACGCGCTCGCGCGTGAGACGCATGTGCGGAGCGAGGGAGAGGAGGGCTGAGGGAGGGAGAGATGGGCCGAGAGGGAATTCGGCCCACCAAACCTGAGGGAGGCAAACTAGACTTTTACAGAGGGATTTGAATTGGGAGGAATTTGAGATTTGGAATTTGAATTTGACGATGGATCGGGGATTCAAGATGGAGATTGGCACGCACAGAGACATCAAGCAAAGAAACGACTTCCGCAAATAGGGTTTTTAAGATTTAGTTTTCCCGCTAGGCGCCACGACGGAACGGACGCTACAACGCCCTCCCCCCACACGTGCCTCCACGAAAAAAAGGGCGCCCTCCCCCTACGCGCGTCTCAGCCTGCCTCCCACGTGTCCTCACCACTCACACTCTGTTGCAACAAATCCCCCACATATTACGGAAACGCTCTATTAGGGAATCCGTTTCAATTTTGTTATACCAACAATGTTTCAGCAAATATACTCGTAATATTTCATATGTATAGATCAAATGCTGCAGTGAATTGAAACATTCTTTCGCTATTTGCTAAAACATTTTCTTATATAAGGTGAAACAATACCCGATTTTTTGAGAAACCGTTGTTTCATACGTTGTAGCAAAATGTTTCATGAGGTGATTTGGTTGTGTTTCAGCTTTTTAAACGATTGAAACATTTTCAATCTACTTAGTGAAACAATTCCGATCTATTTGGTGGAACAACGTGCAACATTTAAAAATAATTCAAAAATAAGCTAAATATTTTTTTTCATCGGATTATATCCATGTGTGGTCTTGTTTTAAAGATTTAATTACAACGGATTTAATGGTACAATCGGATCATGATTTGGATAAATAATTTAAGAGAAAAAAATAGCTTCGCTTAGAAAGTTTTGCTTGCATGTATGCATGCATGATGACGTGAACGCCCGATTTTAGATGCGTCGCATATTCTAATACTATAAATCTGGACAGACATGCGACATGGTACAAACACGCATAACAATTAATTAATTTGATCTATACATAGTGAAACATCACAAGTACACTTGCTGAAACATTATTGGTGGAACAAAAATTGAAACGGATTATCTTAACAGAGCGTTTGCATAATATGTGGGTTTCAATTCACTGCAACATTTGATCTATACATAGTGAAACATCACGATTACACTTGCTGAAATATTGTTAGTGGAACAAAAATTGAAATGGATTTCCTT